ATAATTGATTAAAATTAATTCACTCTTACAGCACAAATCTGTGTAAAAACTGCATTTACACACTCTGTGGTGTGTATAACTTAAACTGTAGCAGCCTGAGGAACCCACATGTGTAATATACTTAATTTTATATGCATATATATTGTGCTGAGCTGATGCTGAAATCTTGRCCATATTGAAAGTCAAACTCATTTAAAGATACTGAAACTGTGTTACAGGATTGACATGTAAAGACTGTCCTTCTCTAAAACATTTTGTAAACATTTGTGTCAGATGTTCAARTGAAATAACCCAATTAAGGATTGAAAGATTTGGAAATTTTAAACTTTTAATGGAAATGCAGCTGTAATGTCAAAACTRGATTCTGAAACACATTTTTGTAATATTTGCATCTTTGACTCATTTGTATTCAAAATGCCTCTGGGTTTGTTAGTTAAGTATTATTAAATCTGAAGGAGGAAGTATTCTTCTGCTGGAGTAAACATGAGAGAAAGAACAGTGTAATGTTGTATGATGGTATTAAGCCTGGAATTTACCAACTATTGGTATTTATCAATGCCCAAGAGTGGTGTCCGCTGATGTAGTTTATTTTATGATGTTGAACAGTCACCATTTTCACATGTGTAAACATGATACAAGAAATAGACCTTYTTGTGATTCATACTAAGATTCTATTTGAAGCTTTCAAAAGTTATTATAGTGTGGGTAAATATGAATATGCATATTATGATACTAATTTGCATACTAAATATATAGCTAAAATTAAATGGATTRTTTACTATAAACTGTTTTCTTAATAAAGACTGACAAAGGATTTGACAAGGCTACTTTTGAAAACCAGATGTCTGTTATGAGGGGGCAGGTAAGACTGCTTTTTTACATTTTTAYTTATGTATTTAATTTGTCATCACTCTTCAGCTGCTTCCTTTAGAGCTATGAAAATTGACTCCTATTAAACTAAATGACACTTGAACGTATTTTCATCTGAGAAAACTACATTTCTTCCTAGAGTTTGTTCTTATTTGCAGATAGATGAAACAGCAGAAACGTGAATGCTAATTTAAAAAAAAATACAGAAAATGTTAATCTAATTCAGTTATATTGGTTTTGTGTGGGATGGGTGGGACTTAACTGCATATTCTTAGAAGGTATTTTCAAAATGAAAAAAGAGACGAGTCATAAATATGGATGGAAATTTGATGTGTGATTTCACTATGCTATTAAAATAAATGTGACTTTATATTAGAGGATTGACTTGATTATTTAAATACCTCTCACAAGAAAGCCTGTTAGGTAATAAAATTTATTCATCTTATTAAATGTTGAAACCATRCTTCAAAATAGTCCAACCATTTCAGGTTAAAAATTTGATGATAGTTAAGTACTGGACTTTTTTTGTTYTGCTTTGTTTTTTAAAACACTGAAGCAAGAGAGGAGAGAATTGTTCMATCTTCCTTCATTTTACAATTTAAGACTCATGTGAAATGCTAGAGAAAAGGCTTTAGGTAAGAACAAATTATTTCGTTAATTGTAGGCATAAAATAGCGATTTCTGCAGGTGTAAGGCAATTGGACTAGACAAATTAATAGTCCCATTTGYCCTGAATTTACTGAATCCTACTTCTTTGTGTTCATAAATTTAGCATGGATTTTAAAGTCAGGCAATTCCTACAGTGTCTTAATGCAATGATTTCTCAGTAGAATTTTCTGTATCAAGAAGTGCCTTGCACATGGCTGGAGCTCTGCTTAGTCTTAGTCAAACATAATCCTAGTTAACATCTGTTGTRTGGTAGATAAAAGACAGCAAACCTTACTTAGTATATTGTATTATAGGAGTTGTTTCTGAAATAACTCTCCTGAGAACTTTGTGTAATCATTGGAAGGTCGCTTCTTGAAGTACTCATGCATCCTAAACTGTATTAAGTAGCTTTTTTTCTCATGAGTCAAATCTTATTCTACAAAATGCTTGAGGAAAAATAAGATTGATATAATTGAGAGAGATATAGCTGAGGTTGTCAAAATTAATTTTCCATATAAAGGCTGCATCTAGACCCTTTCTCCACATCCTTTCCCTTAGGGGGATTTTAGCAGAGATTTGTTTTAGTTTTGGGGTTTTTTTACCTCTCTCTAGCTATATAAAAGTGTGTTTCACTGTGGGAAATTGCAGGTTTTCAGGCACAGAGGAAATGCAGTTCAGGCACAGAGGAAATGAGTAATCTTTGCATGCAAATGGAAATATATTGGCAAATAATGCCTTTTAGCATTGATTTTAAAGCTGCTTTTGATGTAAAACTAAAGTATAGTATGTTATGAGGGCATTATAGAAGACTTGGCTATCTAGATGTATGCTTGGCATACTARTAGATTCATTCAGTCCAGATGAATTTGCAGTATAGCCAAAACATCTAAATAAATTCTTAAAAATGAGAAWTTAAGAATTAGAAAATAAAGAATCTAGTTGATAAAAATAAGGAGACTGCAAAGGAACATGTGTTGCATGTAAGAGTCAAGCTCTTTAAATCCAAGATACCAAACATGGTTAGAAGCCTGTTTCTGCAAAATGTAGGAAAAAAAATTTTGGAAGGGTTTCAAACCCAATGAAACAGTTCGCTCAAGAATGTAGGGTCTAAGAAATGGGCAACACATCTACAAAGAATTGCCTTAGAATTTTGAGAGTGTAAATGTCAAATGGAGTTGCTGGCARAACCAAATTGCAGTAAGTAACGTGAAAGAGCTTGTCATAGTTTTCTTTAGCCATGAAAGAGCAGAATGAGCACAGGATCAGTAAATCTCACAAGGAAGAAAAAGGCATTGTGCAGGGGAAAAAAGGCTTGATGTTAAGGATAATGCAAATGTGTCACTAGAGCTAAATTGAATACTTGCCTCAGTTTTCAGCRGGATAACATTGAACATGGAGTAAGTTATCAGGGCAGTTCATGAGCTTTGAAGTTTTRGAAGAAAGATAACACACTTCTGGGAGCTGAGGGCTGAATTGGGGTCTTTGCACTGGGAATTTGGGGAATTTGCACTGGGTTTGGTATGAGCTAATTATACGGCTTCATATCTTCTGATATGAAAATWATTTGTAGCTAAAATGCTGGTATGTCCTATGTTAAATCGTGTTGATGGCTTTCTTGTAGGTATTTTTTCCCTGAAGGTGCAGTGCTTTCAAGAGATGTGCTAAATTTAAAATGCTCTTAGATTTTTGTCTCTTAACATTTTCTGAAAATTTCAAGAGGCCTGCACGAAATACTGAGGAAAAGAATGGAAGGGTAATCAAGAGCAGTAGGATGTAGTCACATTACCAAATAAATAAAGTATTTCTACTTGCAATAGCATATCTTTTGAAATTAATTCATTTAACAGCACAGTCCTCTAGAGAATTGATTTGAGTGGCATCTAAATTGATAAGCCTGTTAGCTATAGTTTCATTTGTGCATCCTAACCTTACGTGCTTTTACTCTTTTTAGATACTAAACCTTACTCAGGCATTAAAGGATGAAAAAAGTCCCATTCAGCTTGTTCAGATGCCACGTGTGATTGTAGAGCGAAGTAGTACTGGAAGTCAGGGCCGAATTGTTCATCTGAGTAATGCTTTCACACAGACCTTTCATAGCAGGAAGCCTTTCTTTTCCTCCTGGTAGCAACACAAATACGTGGGAAGAGTAAGTTTCTYTTAACTTTAGAAAGCTACTTCTGTGTAAAGGCTCTGCAATAATGTACTTCTGCTGTATACCAAGAGCTTTGACTGCCGACACCTCAGAACTTAAATTCTAAAGACTTAAGAAATGTATTTTGAATGTAATAAAAGTTTACAATTTTTGTGTCAAAATTGTGAATTCTTACGTCAGGGAATGAGAAGAATTTGTCCATACTGTATTTTTATAGGCTAAATTAATGTATTCTGAATAAGGGAAGATAGTTTGCATATGCTGAGAAACTAATTTTGAATGCAATAGGAATTTTTTGTTTAATGTAAATGTGGGAATCCATACACTATCAATTTCTTTTTATATGGCCTTTACAAAAAAAGTTCAGAATGTTAYCTTTGATTGTGAAATTGCTTTTCCTTGGAGTTTCTTCCTGATATTTTGAACTGGATATAGATTTTTGTACACTAGTGCACTTAAAAAAAAAAATCCATCTGTGCTTGACAAACAAGTCAAACAAAGGGAGAAGGGAGAGAAATGCTCCAAATAGGCTTTTTTTGCACACGGCGGGGACCAAAAATAATTAAATAGTTGAATTACAGAAAAATTCAACCCAAGTAAATGCACACAGTTTCTACTGTGACAAAATAAACTGAGTGTATATTTCAGAGGTTGAAATTTCACTGTAGTRTTTAGCACTTGTATTTTTAAGCACATATATGGAAATCTGTGATATTTCTTTAGAGATGCATCGTGATGAAGGAATTGCACCATTTTGTTACAGGTTTTTTTTGCCATACATGTAAAAATGTGTTCATCAGTTGTCACCTGAGTGGTTCTTCTGCTAATGACAGAAGCACTAATGTGTTCATCAAAAAGCCAGTCTGCCTTCTAAATTTCTAGCTAAACACGGTTTTCTTTTTGTTTTTTTTTTTTTTTTTTACGACTTAGAAAAAATGGAAAAAAAACTGGAATACCTACAGCACAGAGAATTACTTTTGTGCCCTGAATAATGTTGTGCTCACCTGCCAATTGCCATTTGCATTTATGTTTAAGTTATCTGGTTTAAGACTTGATGGTCRTGTTTCTAGGTCTGTGGCTTATGTAACATGGTAAATATTTTTATTTTAGTAATTTTCTGGACAGTTAAGATGGGGAAGGAGAGAAAGATTGCTGCTTTTATGAAACTTTCAGTATTTCGGACATTGCTGTATTTTGTAATTCGAAGCAATATTGTTGAACTCAGAAATAATAAAATGCTTGTATTTTATATAATTTTGCGTGGATGTAAATATTAATGTAGTGCGTCAAAAAATTCAACAACGTGCAACGTTTAAGTCTTAAATGTAAAACACAAGGTACAATGCAGTTTAAATGGAGATGGAAATGCCCGCCTTTATAAACTTGCCATGGTTGTTTCTGTCCGAACAGTTTTTTAAGAAACGAGCGCTGGTGTTTATGAGGGGGTGGGCGTGCTGCTGCCGGGCCCTGTCACGGTGGCAACGGCCGGGCCTGGCGCCATCTCCGGCGGGGCCGCCGCTCCGCTGGGGGGCGCTGTCCGCGCGGTGCCCGGCGGGAAGGAGGCGGTGCCATGGCGGCGGCGGGCCGGGAGCGCTCGGGGTCTGGCGTGCTCGCCCTGCCCGGGCCGGCGCCCGGCGCGCCCTGCTGCCCTCACGGTGAGCCGGGCCGGGGGAGGCACTTGCCGAGCGTCCGTGTGTTCGTTTTCCGCTGCGCTTCCGGCTCCCGGCGTGGGGTGTTTCGCAGCAGTCTTTGGGAAGGCCTTTTTCTGGAAGCTCGGCTCTTACAGCGGTGCAGTGAAACAGATCTKTAAACGTTCCTTGTGTTATCGTATCATCGCGTTTGTCCCTAGGTCCTGCGCTTCTGTTTGTGAAGACCAGCCAAGGAAAAGAAGAAGGAAGAAGATTCTATGCTTGTTCGGCTTGCAGGGATAGAAAAGATTGTAACTTTTTTCAGTGGGAAGATGAGAAGGTAAGAGAGCACTACCAAAGGCTGTGCTAAAGACTCAGGGGTACGAAGGTGATCAGCGGTCTGGAACACTTCTATGAGGAAATGCTAAGAGAGTTTGGGTTATTCAGCATGGAGGCTCCAGGGAGACCTTACAGCAGCCTCCCAATACCTGAAGGGGGCCTCCAGTAAATCTGGAGTGGGACTTTTTGCAAAGGCGTATCATGATAGGACAAGGGGTGATGTCTTTAAGCATAAAGAGGATAGATTAGATATTAAGAAGAAATTCTTTGCTTTGAGGTTGGTGAGACCCTGAAAAAGTTGCCCAGAGAAGCTGTGGATGCCCCAGTCCCTGGAAGTCAAGGCCAAGCGGGATGCAGCTCTGACCAAGCTGGTCTAGTGAAAGCTGCCTCTACCCATGGCAGGAGGGTTGGAACTAGGTGATCTTTAAAGTCCCTTYCAACCCAAATAATTCTATGGTTCTATGAAATATTGGGAAGTTTTTTTCTCTATTTAGCAATTTTAAAAGTTTATTTTGTTATGGAAGTCTGTAGCAACTGCTGTTTTCTAAACTTTGTCTAACGGCTGGTTTTTAGCTGAGCACTTGTTCTGTCAGGAGAAATGTTTCAAGTATAGCTTTCAAGGAAGGCTGTGTATGTTTTGCACAAAACTGGCATTTGTTATTGTATTGCCAAAACATACAGGAGGTTTGCCAGTGCTATGCAATGTTGAACAAAATTGGATACTTCTGATCTCAAGATGCCCTCATTTCCCATGATTTAAGGYAGAGAAAATCTGTTGGGTACAAACAATGGAGTATACAAAATGGTGAGATGGTGGGGCTCAGCATGATGCTCAGTAGTCTAAGAATATCTGCAGCGATTTCTCTGTCATTCATTTTGACTATCACTTGTATGATGATGGTTTTTACTGTATTGATTTTTACAGTCTCTAAGCAAAACAGTTCCATAAGTTCTGACCAAATGTCTTGAAACTGTTGTGAAACCAGAGAAGAGTGTGAGAGACTGAAATGCTAAGGACTCAGGTGCAGATTATAACAAAGAGCTGTCACACTTTAAAAATCATTACACACGAAAGACTTAGGCAACATTTCTACTGTCATCGGTTTTTCAGGATCAGATCATAGTTCTTCAGAGAGAAGAACTGCTGGTACATATTAATAGAAAGGATGGCTCTTTCTGTCTTTATCATAATCACGTTTAGAGTTTTACCCTGAGTGACAGAAGAAATGTACTGTTTAAATTCACAATGAGAGGCTTGTGTTGTTTTGCAGCATGCCCCTGTGCTGCAGACGTGTATTTCTGAGCAACAAAAACTGTGATCATTTTTCCTTGCAAAGGTAGCTAATGCATGAGACCTTTGAAGACCTTGGCACCCCTTTTTTAATGTTGAGATTTGATGTACAACACCCTGCAGTAATGTTCGTTTTGTAACTTCTCATATATGCAAATTTTACAGGTGTCAGAAACTAGGCTTGCAGCACGTGAAGAATATAATAGAAATCATCAGCCTTCTTTTACACACAAACAGAATGTGGACAGGTATTGTTAATGTGCATTTTTTTCAATAAAAATAAAGTAACGCAGGTTTAGGTACTCTGTAGAGAGAATGTTTCAGGACTCATTAAAATATGAAAAGAGGGATTTAGGCAATTAAGAACTGTTGTATGGCAATGGAACGGAAAATAGCCTGAAACATTTAATGAGAGCATGGAGTTTTCAAGAYAGGACTTCAGGGGGTTGCGTTTGGTTTTTTTTGGTGTACATAGTCATTCTTATGTTAGTAYACATAATGTGTCATTTCTGTTAAAAGAATTATTCCTGACTTTAGTGAGCAAAACTAACAGGCTTGCCGTTGTGAAAAGGAAGGGTAGTATAGTAACAAATAACATCTGAATTTTGTGTTTAAATGTACCGGCCTTTGCTGACAGGTGATGGAGTTGTCACGCTCTAATCTGTTTATTTTATGGAGATTCCCTATATATTTTGTCACTGTATTTTATGCATTGCAAAGTGTCCTTTGAATATTTTTTTTCATAAATACTACTTCATTTACCTGGAGTTTTGCAAGAGCAATGCAAAGTGCATTGTCTGTTTAAATGTCTGAACTCTTATGAAACTCCCTTTATAGCTCCCCTTCCTATCTCTGATAAAGACTTTCTTGAAACTTTGTTCACTACTGTATTCTGTATTTAAAGGTACAAGAATTTTGTTCTGTTGCCGTTATCAAAGAGGAGATTTTGCCAGGAATGCCAGCAATTACTGTTGCCAGCAGAATGGGAAAAACACTCAGATCACCAGTTCCTGTGTGATATCTCCACTGCCCAGCTGAAAAGTCCCAGTCAACTACTATATCCRCTGGAGAATAAAAAGACAAATGCACAGTATTTATTTGCAGACAGAAGTTGCCAGTTCCTACTGAATCTCCTTATAGATTTAGGATTCAGACGAGTACTCTCTGTTGGAACACCCAGGTACATCAATGAGAATTGTTGCATTTTCAAATACTATTTCTCTCTCAAAATGGCACAGCTTACTAATGATTACATAATCAATGATTCTCCCATAATTAGAAATTCACTATGCTTTAATTGGTTGGGATTATCCCAGCATCTAGTGGGRTCTAGCTTTGAACTCTTGAGATACCAGAGAAGATGAGCAGCACTGCAAATAAAACACACAGGCACTATAGATCTCTTTGTTCCTTATGGAAGTGACAGTGAGTCTCTTAGCTTTTTGTACAGGCAGATCCAGTAGGCTCCAAGGACTTCTCATCTTTTAAGACTAACCTGTTATTCTAGCTTTGGGTATCAGCCAGATGGAATCCCCCAAATTTAGCCTACTCCATTTTCTCTATCTGTTTGGTTTTAGGTTTAGTAAAGTACCACACATTCTTGTCTTTCAAGATCGTTTCTGAAGCCAGTGATTATGTGTTAAATTTCTTTATTCCAATTATACTTCAGGCTTCATGAAATGATCCAGTCAAAAGCATCACAAGAAGAAGATTTGAGTGTTAGAAGCCTTCTGCTAGATATCGATTTCAGGTAGGTTTTAACACGTGTTTATCCATGAGAACACTATGTACAAAGATGTGTGTTCTTATTKTTTTAAGAGATAAATTGGTGGTTGTTTTCCCTTTCTTGTCTCTGCATCTCTGTTCCTGTATGCATGCACAAATGACATCCAGTTTATGAGAAAAGTAAGTATATTTATTTTCCCAGTATTGGTATGTCAGTAATCAGAACCTAACAATGATGTTTTTCTAGAGGCCTGTTGTAATTGTTTTTAACTATCCCCTTAGGATAGAAGGAAAGTTGTTTATCTAAACTTAATTTTACAGGTATTCCCAATTTTACACAGAGGATGAATTCTGCCACTACAACATGTTCAATCATCATTTTTTTGGAGGAGAGGTAAGACCAAGTATTGATTCAGTGCTTTGGTAAAAAAGCATGCATGTTGTTGATGCAGAATTTTGTAAGCAAGTCATGATTAGTCTAGTAGACAACACAAAAAAAATGAATTAACAACATTTTAATTAAAGCAGCAGTTAAGGTGTGTAAGCAGCATTAGTTAGCAATGAATTTAATAGGCATCTTTGAATTGAGTGGGAGAGAGCTACTGAAGAGAAGGCACTCTCATTCTTTGATTTTCAGTACTGTTTTGATATGTTAACTGAAGACAGCACTTGTTTTCAATCCTGTCAGAGGGCTGATGTGCCCTACTGAAGCGGGCACTTGTTTTCAGTCCTTGAAATCTAGTGGGGTTTATGTTTTTTTGGTTTTTTTTTTTTTTTAATGCTACTCAAGGAAATTAATCTCCACAAGAGGAAGAAAGTTCTATTTGCAAAGTTGAAACTTCTACAAAGATCATTTTATTGCCAAATACAATATGTTTACAGTTCTTGAATCTTTAATTCTGGAAATTCTTATAGGCTGCACGTGAAACTTGTAGGAAATTCTTGCATGAAGAGAATGATGAAAGAGTCATTATGGTAACTGATCCCCCATTTGGAGGTTTGGTGGAAGCACTGGCTTCTAGTTTTAAAAAACTGATGTCAATGTGGAAGGAGACAGAAAAAGAAGGTATGTATTACACCCAGATAGGTGGACTGAGCTGTAACAGCATTGTAAGGAAAAGGAACCTATTTGTAAGTCAGTGATTCTTGTTTCTCAGGTGAATGTGAGCATGCTCATGTTATAATTTCTAAAGATGAACTGCCATGTATCTAATTTATTCTCCTGATATTTTTAGTTCAATAATGCCCAATTCTTAAAGTCTCTTTTAAAAACTTTCACCATTGTTTTTACAAATCTACCTTGCAATTAAAGTGGACTTTTAAGGTAGGGAAAAATAAGCTATCAAACCAGTACAGTTTTGTGTCAACCTAAGTGAGTATCAAGAGTGTAGTTACATGGCACTTAACAGCTCCACATATACAAAATATGCCTAAACTTTCTGTTGCTTGAGGAAAYTAGTTATTCTGCCCAAGATGATGCACATAGCCACGTTTACGTACTTGGAATGTGCACTGTAAATTTCTCATGCATCATGTACTATGTTTTTTTCCTATGTGCACCAGAGTCTTTTCATTACTAGGTCATGTCAACAAAGAGATGSCCATGTTCTGGATATTTCCATACTTCTTTGAGTCTCGTATCCTTGACTTTTTCCCAAGCTTCAGTATGATGGATTACCAGGTATGGCTAAATACACTGTATCTGCTAAATACCAGTTGTGTGCAATGTGAACAGGAGTATGAGTGAAAGCAGGTACAATKGTAGTTTTTCTCTGTAGATGGGCCTTCCTCTTGTGAAGCCTGGATCCTGTATTTTTATCAGTCAGATCTGTGATAACTTTATCATGGTCCTGTTATATATCTTTAACTCATCTATTATTTATCCATGGACTAATTTATTCTTCCAGGCTTTCAGTGTAACAAGATCTGCACTCATTTTGACAGGTGCATGTTGCAGAGGTGAGAGGTAACTGGATGAAGAGTATTTAATTTTTCATAGGTGTAAAAATGTCAGTGGGTAGTCCCCAGCCCTGGTTGAAAAAAAATTACAAAAATTAAGGTCTTTCATCTCCAAAACTGCTGGGACCAGAGTACAATTACAGTGATGGAAATGTCTGGAATTACTTAGTGAACTTGTCAGTGATAAAGCAATAATCTGGCACCAGCTTCCTGAATATTGTATCCATTCTGTACATAGTTTGAGCACACACGCTTCAGTATGTTTTGAGAGCTCAGTCATGGGTATTGATGATGCTGAAGATTTATTTTTTCATTCATTTAATTCATCAATGAATTTTGACATTGATGTTCTAAGCAATGTGTTTGTGTCTTGTAGAATGGAAATTTGTTGAAGAAAATTAAAAACAAATGCTRGACTAGACTCAGCATTCCTGCCAGTGTTCAGACCTGTGAATTTTTGTGACAAGTCTCTGAAGGCAGTGCTGGAAAAAGCACTACTAATTGCATTTGCAACTTTGTAATTATTATGAGATGGGTTGATGTCACGTCTTGTACACACAAACCAAACAGTTTAGATACTTTTTTTAACATGTTGTTTTGTAAATAGCTACAATGTTATCTTAGGTATCCCATCCAAATGAGCAGAAAGAAATAAGTAAAATATGATTATTCAGGTATTGCAAGTCTAGCCTGAAAATATGYTTGCCCGAATTTACAAGTAAAAGACAAAAAACATGTTGTGGAATTTGTAATCTGATTTGGGATGAGTGTCTTTTATATAAAAATTAACATTTCGTAAGGCACATATAAACATGTAAATAACTCTGCCTGTGCTTAGCATTCAGTTTAAGACTCTCTTTTATGGTTTTATTTTTCTAGGTAGACTATGATAATCATGCACTGTATAAACATGGCAAGACAGGTCGTAGACAGTCTCCTGTCCGTATTTTCACGAACCTTGCCCCGAGTATGATTGTGCTTCCTGAAGAAGAGGGATATAGGTAAGATATATTAATGCTCAGGTGATTTTTAAAACTGTGTCCTTGTTCTTAATAAAGGTATAAAGTCTCCAAAGGAGTTTGGGATGGTGCGGTTCAGTTTTGTCTTGCCTAACTTGGATGCCAGACTTAAGAGCATATTTTTCTGTCTCATTCGAAGGTTGCATGTAATATAAACAATATATWGGATAACTGAAATATCTAGAAAGACATTTCTATTTTCCAGTGTGAAATTATGAGATTTCTCATTTTGTCTGTAGGGCATATTGTGAACATTTACATGAGTGATTTGCAGCTGTGTCTGACCATCAGCTGTTGAGACAGTAGTTAAAAAAATGAACACTAAGAGAAGCATTGAGGACAAGGAATTTAGTTTCATTTGCTAATTTCAATACTATCAATTTCATTTGATAGTATTCATAATTTGACTTTAAGCATCTTGATTTTACTGTGTGGATGTACTGTATGTAAATGACTTAAATGGTCATTCATGCATCAAAGACATCATCTTTATTTCAACAAAGTGACTATATTTGTTCTTAAGCTTTTATAAAATTAATGATTTTGTGTGCAAATAGTGGACCCATACATCTCTTTCCCCAGGTTTTGCAGTGTATGTCAGCGTTATGTTAGTTCTGGTAACCAGCACTGTGAGATATGCAATTCATGTACATCAAAAGTAAGTATTTTCATTTCTTTCTCAATGGCAGTTTCAGCAGTAGTTGGATAACAACCTCTGTAATACTGCCTTTGGTAAAAACCTATTCTGATACTGAGTTTCAGGGAAACTCCAAACAATTTGGTTTCATAGACTTATTACATTCACAGTACACCTTTCATAACCTGCTGGGAATTAATTTCTTTTTCTCTTTTCTTTGGAAAGAGGACAGGGCAAGTTCACTACTTGCCACCTAGACCGGAACTTATTCACCAATGATCTGTTGACACATGTATTTTTTCTTATGCTTTGAAATTGTAGAACTTGCTAATTCCAAAATTTCATCTGTGGTTTTCACAGATTCCAGGATGGTTCTTTCTGATTTACAGTCCTTACAGAGGACTTGTTCCTGTAAAGTGGGGRCCATATACAAGTAGTTCTGTTTTAAGATAGAATCGGTGGGAGGGTGTAATAARTAAAACCACTTATTTGCCTTTTGTAGGACGGCAGACGATGGAAACATTGTGTTCTTTGCAAAAAATGTGTAAAACCCTGTAAGTACAGAAAAATATTTGCTAAATATAAGTGCACTTAGTCCCAACAAAATGAGATTGCAAACCAAGGAGAAAATATTCTGCAAAAGAAGTAAAATGTATTAATTCAGAAGACATAAATTAAAGGAAACATCTCAATTTCACACAAGTTGCTATTCATTAATTTAGATGTACTTGCACTGTGTGGAAATGTAATAAATTTCTGTCAAGGCACACTACATCCCATTTTTGTTTATTTTGGGAAAACTGAAATACTTCTATTTGTCATATAAGTGTTTCCTGATTTTGTAAACTTTTTAGTTAGAATTTCATAAACAAATAGACAATTACTAAAATGTTTAAGTCGTGATAAAATTATGTTTCATGAACAAATTTAGTTGTATTTATAGCTCTGTAKAAGTAGCTGAAACAGTCATTTTTGTTACTGTTACAAAAATCACAATTTGTAAAGACATTGYAACATCTGGAGTACTTCTCTTGTTAAGATCACACACAGGATAATAGTTCTAATGACAAAATAATTCACACATAATTGCACGTTATGTCTGATGAAGTACCTGGCTGCCTTTTGAAATGTGGTAAGGTACCAGAAATGACTACATCCATCTCTTTAAAGCTAATCCAGAATTAAACACCTGGCATTGTGGCCTATATTTAAAGCTTCGTTTCAGAGTGTTCATTCTAAACTTYTCGAAGACCATAAATCATGTTACTTATTTTGCAGCTTGGTTTCACTGTAACRATTGCAACTGCTGCACTCTTCAGAAGCACAGCTGTGAGAAGAKTGATGTTGGCTGTTTTGTTTGTGGCAAGGCAGGTCACAAGCGCAGTGCCTGTCCTCGTCTCTCCCGCACCAGAACAGCTTGTCAGTAAGTGAGATACTGCATTAATATAGTTAAATACAGCATTGGGATGAGATGAGAACTTATGTCATGGAATCAGTTCAGACAGAGATGATTTTTGGCTTTAGGTGCTGATGTCAGCTTTCACTGTTGCCCACTCCCTGCATTGCTAGGGAGTATATACTGAAGGGAGGGTATGATAAAAGGCAGGTCACTTACCGGGGCTCCCAGTTCCTTATGGTTTTTCTTTCAAAACTGATTTATATGGATCACAAATTTGGTGACTGGCGCATGGAGCTCTGTCAAGATTGAAAATTGAAGTAATGGAACTTTTATCCCCTTTGAATTCCACATGAAAGGTCCTGGAAAAGAGTCACCTTAATGCTTTTATTACTTCCTGTCTCATTTGTTTGTTGTAGCATATTTTTGCTTTTCCTGGTATTTCAGATGCTTTTTGTAGTATGATCTAAATCTCCACCATTAATGTCACGTTGAATACTTTTATTCTTCCATGATTGTCCTTCTGTAACATACAGAACACCGTACACATATGTGTATGTATTAGAGAGCCAAGTAAATGGTGTGTGGTTATCTTCAAATGGAACTAGCTGAAAAGAAGAAAGGGGATTTGTTAAGACATGATCCAGCAGATGGCTCAGTCTTTCCATTTCAGGATAATTGACTCCACTTTTGTAAATTCCTCTCCAGAGAAATGGGTTTGGTCTGTGATTCTGGGCTTGAATGGCTGTAGCAGTGGAAGTGCAATTCTTCTCTCCCAAAAGCTGTACCTGTGTCACACAGTGAGATTCAGATAATTACCCTCTTGGATCAGTATCAAGAGACTCACCAGGTGCCTGCTGAATGGTAGAGGAGTGCCAGGTGTMTTGTTTCATGTCCTACTGATACTAAACGGGGTTTTGCTTAGGGACTATTAGACTCAAAAGGTACCAATATTTCATCTTCTATATCTCTCATAAAATTCCATCTCTCAATGTTTCTTTCTTCTTTGCTAAAAAAAATTAAAAGGATGCTAAAAGAAATTAATGAAACCTCATCTGTTCCTTCTGTCAAATAAGAGACTACTCCGTCAGTTGTACCAGAATGGTTTTGTACTTTTAGGTCGTCAGTTAGTTCTTGCTGATTTATTGCAGAAGATAGATTTCTTTTACTAATACAAATTTTGTATGTTTTAATTATATAACATTTTGCACTATGACATACATCTTTCWTCAGAGACAAAAACCAATCCACATGCTAGTTGTATGTAGGTCCTGTACTAATCGCAGGATGCTTCCTAATGGTGTTAAACTTTATGTACTTTCTTCTTAGTCTTTCTGTAATATATTCATGCATTATATATTCAGCATGAAACTCTGTGTGTGCTTTTTTTGTACTTGGTGAGTTTCTTGGTTTCAATATCTGTTTAAATTTAAATGCTGAATAAGTACATAAAATGAAAGATTAAAGGCAATAAAGTGGACAGTTTTAGGAAGCTGAAATACTTCACCTTGTGAAGTATTCTTCACATATTGTTACAAAATTCATATATTTATTTAAAATACAAGCAAATGTACTTGTCCAGTATAAGCTGTTCTCCATTTTATTCTAATCTTTATGTTCCTTTTTTTGCTTCACAGACCTGGCAAAAAGAAAGGGCAGAAAATTCAAAAGAGAGTAATGATGGGGATCCGTAAAAGATTAGCTATGAAACGTGCTGTATTCTCCAAGAGGAAAGTAAAAAATAAGAAAAAGAAGACATGACTTATCTTGCTGTTACATAGTTGCTAATTAATTTTTTTTTATTGCCAGCCTTTCATTCCATTTTCTAAAAGTGTAAATGTTAACATCCAAAATAAAATCTGATTGAATTAGAAGTGACAGTTCTTTTATTTTACATCATTACTGGTACCAAAAAAAAAAMCCCACCCAAAACAACTAAGTGAACCACCACAGCTCTTAGCATCTATTTGTATACTGTGATAATTTTGTATTTCGGATTAGCTATTTGTCTAATTTGGTGGGTATTGGACGTTAAGGGGAATACTGCTGAGTGGTGAGGTAATGACTGAGGGATGCTCCCTTAGTATGCTACATTGGTATTGGGGGACSTGCGGCAAGGGAGGAAGTGAGGGTAGGTAGAGGGGGAAGAGACAAGTTCTAGGATTCTAAGCTCTGTCAGTTACAGTCTTCTTACAGGATACCTTGTGATTTTTAAAAAATTTCTCTGCAAATGGAAAAGGGGCTATTAAAAAAAGTACTGTATTTAGTATGCTTAAGTGGRCGGAACGGAAGAGCCTGACCCGCCTCCCCGCGCCCGCTCGAGCCCGCCGCCGCCGCCGAGGCCCGCCCCTTGCCACCGCCGAGGCCCGCCCCTCTCCTTGTCGCCACCGCCCCCCGCCCCTCTCCTTGCCGCCGCCGAGGCCCGCCCCTCTCCTTGTCGCCACCGCCCCCCGCCCCTCTCCTTGCCGCGGCGGGAAGCGCCGCCCCCGGAAGCGGGAGTGGATGGCCGCCGGGTGCCGGCGGAGCGCCGCAGCCATGCCCTCCTTCAGGCAGGTGGGCGAGAAGCAGCTGCCGCAGGAGGTCGTGTTCATGTCCTGGTCCCCCAAAAGGGACCTCATCGCCCTGGCCAACCGAGCGGGGGAGGTGAGTGCGGGTGCCGGGGAAGGAGCCCAGGAGGGACTGGCGCTGCCTCTTCCTGCAGGCCGAGATGSCTTTGCTGTTACTTGGGGCGTATTTCTTGAAAGCCTGGCCAAGCATTTAGGAATAGCAATTTTTAAAAATCAGGCTTCTTAATACTTGCCGCCCCTTCATTTTTTGCATTTTAATTTCCGATYAAATTCACGCGCGATGTTCACGTTGCTTATGTTTGTGGAGTTATAAAGTGCATGAAATTTCCTATTTAAATTAAATTTGCTTTTAAGTACTTTTTTCGCTGGAACTGCAATATGGGATCATGCATGAAGACAAGACTTGTACTTTTAGGCTGTCTGCTCCGTGTTGGTTCGGAGCTTCTATCCTTTTACAAGGTTCCGTTTATTTCTCTATATCGCTGTAAACTGTGTACTGTCTTCTAAAAGAGCATARTAGTGAATTAGCTGCTAGAGGAGCAGGTGATATTTAAGACACAGGAATTAATTAAAAACTGGTAGAAAAACGCATGCATCTTGAACTGATTTACAAAAGGTAGTTAATGGGAGAGTGTGGTTTAAGTTTGTCTTCCATGTRTTTGCTTTGTAGGTTTTACTTCATCGTCTTGCAAACTTTCAAAGAGTGTGGAGTTTGCCTCCAAATGAAAATACAGGAAAAGAAGTGACTGCTCTTGCTTGGAGACCAGATGGAAAAAGTAATGTCAAGTATATGAGGTGATATGGTGTGATGAAAATTGTATGGGAAATCGTGAATGATGAGAGCTCTCATATGTGAAGGAAATTTATAAGTAAACTGTGTTTGAAGAGAAGGGTGCCTTAATTTTATTTAGGTTCGTTCACAGTGATAGAGAGATTAGCACTGTTGAATGCAATTGCAAGAAAGACGTGTAAAACACATTTATGTCCCAAATGCTTCTTTTCAGGTAATGGCAAAACTTCACCATCCTAACTACGTAGGGTATTTTGTGTGTTTGTTGGGAGAGAAGCAAGCTGTCCGACCAGGATTGATTGAAGGGATAAGCTTACCTAGCATAGGCAGAACTTCTTAGGCTAAAATTGCTCTAAGTATAGACCAGAGAAGGAAAAGAAAGCCTTTTCTCTATCAACAAAAATAGTGTTAAAATTAGTATATTAATAAACTTAGCCCTGAAATCAACTTTTGATTCGGAGTTGGGAGATTGGGAACAGCCTTCTTCCATAACATGTGGATAGAAGTTACCTATATTGTTTTATTATGGCATCTGAGGAGTTAATGAAACTTCTTTTTGAGCTGATTACCTATGATTACAAGGAAGTAAGTACAGAAACCTCTGCCTCCTATTTGCTATTATGGATGAAGAAAGTTAGAAAGAAAATGATGCAAAACTTGCTCAGCAAGTCCTAATTTGTATTTTGTTGCAATAAAACCCAAATATTTCTGGTGGAAAGTCTTTATATATCATATTGGACTCAAGTTTGCAAAATTGGAAGTTTCTCCTTTATCAAAACTATTGTTAGAAGTGCTAGAAGCATATTCAGTTCAACATATGGATAAATAATTGTAAAATCAGACCTTTGCCTTAAATTTATCACTTCAGACATGACAGGAGTTCAAACTTTCATTGCAGTAAGTGGATTTCAAATGCAAATTTGGAAGGACTGTATGCAGACAAAGAAAAGTGTCCAGTAGTTGGCTTTGAAGGAGCATTGTATTTTATGCTGACCTAGAAAACAGAGTTTTGCATATTGGTTAYTTATACATTTTACTTGTTGTTCTCTAGTTTTGGCTTTTGGCCTTGCTGATACCAAGCGGATTATTCTGTGTGATGTAGAAAAACCTGAAAGCTTGCACTCCTTCTCTGTGGACTTATCTATTACATACATGCATTGGATGGAAGTAACTGAGGAAAGCAGGTGAGTCTGAAAAAGTGGTAAATTATGGGCTATGTAATGCCATCTTACTGATACTTTATACTTGTTATGTTACAAGCRGTCCCATAAAATAGTACAGTATTCYTCAGCTATGGCTGKTTTTCACCACTTGGTTAAAATTTTGCTTTTTTTTTAGAATAGACACTTTTCATATRCTATTTTTAATGCTGAAATCTTAATCTTGTGATTCTTTAGGTTATACTTTAAATTTCAGTGTGATCTTGAGCACCTCCCTCTTAAGACCAGCATGTACAGCCTGTCTTCTGATCTGGTTTGCTTCAACACCAATCAATGTAGTAAACTAATGATAAGAATGTTACGTTCATTTACTTTGTTAAATTTTTCTTCGCTGGTGTTTTCAAGATCTTTATTTTTGTGTTTGCATCWGTCATGTTTTGTCTTTGGTGTCACATCCAGTCCCATTAGCAATTCTGTTGTTTGGGAAGTCAGATGATCCCTAGTGACCATGAACTCTGTGTGATTAAACAATATTTAGCAGCACTTGTGAGCTGGAGGATATCACAGTCCCATTGAGTTACAGAAACTTCTGGTATGCAATTATGGCAATGCAAGAACATAATTAAATAAAACATTTAAGCAAGTGGTGCAAGATCCTGACTTGAGGATTTCCCTCCTCACCTCCAGTAAGCATCAGTCTTAAAATAGCAAGAYAATAACTGTGTCTTAAATCACTCTAACATTCTTCTCTGGGTGGGGATAGGCTTAGCTTCCCRTGGAGAATCTCAACCTTCTGACATATCTCAGGTGTGATATTAAGTATGGTGCTTTCATCTTCCTCTCACTGCAGTGTGCCTCTAGCTATTAAGGTGTGGATGGGTTGTACTGCAGGTTTGGAGACAGTTTAAACAGAAAGTCTCTGACAGTAGCTGCATTATAGGTAATGAAGGATTTGGTGGCAAGCCTCTGAGCCAGCAGAGTCAAACTTAATTCACCGGAAATAAAAAAAAAAAGACAAAACAGTTATTTTATTAATTTGATCACTTGATACGTTACTAAATGCCCCATAAAGAATTATCCTCTGATACTTTTAACTTCGATATACGTAACATATTGAATATATGCACTAACACTGGAGTTAAAAAAAAAGTCCCTTCTCATTTTTACAGCTTGGGTAATAAAGACAGTATTACCTTTTTTTCAGTGTTCTTACTTCCTTTTACAATGCTGAGGATGAATCAAACCTCCTTTTGCCTAAATTACCAGCACTACCAAAAAAGTAAGTGTTACACTGGTAAGCTTGAGAAGATGTCATTTCTTTAATGCTCTATGGATGTCTGATCACTGTTACTGAGAGTAATTATTTTGTTTTCAGTTACAGTACCACTGCAAAAATTTTCAGGTAAGAAATTGTYGTGTTGCAGCTCTATATTTTTTTGTTTTATTTTGTTTTCTGGCATTGAGACAAGCTACATAAATCCTAACCATGTTTTGTACTTTCAGTGAAGAAAAGTCCGATGAGATTATGAAGCTTCTGGGTGATGTCAGGTAAAGTCTGTCTGTGGGTTGTTGTTGGTTGAGGCATTTTGTTTGGTTGCTTTTTTAAAGGTATAAAATAATGGATAAGTGAGTTTACTTTTAAATAATTTGTAATTGTTTTTAGTCTCCAAGAACTTATATGGAATGTCTTTTTTTAATGTACAAAGATTAACTTAAAAGAATATATGAAAAAAAAAAGTTTCCCTCAGTTTACAACTTTTCCCATCAGTTTAGAGGGATTATGAGGCACTTAGGCACTTTATCAGCAACTGCTGTTGGTGTCTTTTTCTTAGAAGATTTCTTGGGATGCTTTTGAAGGCTGATTTATATGTTACTTAAGCTGGTCTTGGTAACGTTTTTGAATGTGTGTTTTATACAGAGAATTCCTGGGAGTTTGTAGGAGTGTGACAAATCTAAATTTACAAGTAGCTCTGAAACTAGCTGTATTAGTGTTACTTTAAAATAAACATCTATTATTGAGAACCATGAGGAGCAGCTGGTTTGGAGTTTAGCAGATTGAGACTGTGCAGTACCTTGTGCTGCTTTTTTGAGGAGGGCACTTGATGTCTGTGCTTTGTTCTTTCCATTTCACTGTTCTTACAGTCTCACCACTGAGAATCATCCTCCTTAATTCAAATTTGCATCTCTGTCTATCACCAGTTACTCCTTAAAATTTGAAAGCTCTTACAGTAGCATTTCCTTGCTTGAAAGACAGAGATGCCTATGTTTTAGGAGCTTTATGAATTCTCTGCTCCCTTCATCCACTCAATCAAAGCAAAAGTTTTTAAGATACTGTTTTTCTAAGTTCTGTGTTGGTGTTAACAGAAACATTCTGCTACAACATGTATTTATTTAGGGATATAACAGGTAGAAGTTGCAGTCAATTTTCTTATATTTGTGGGCTTTTTCCCAAGCCCCTGCAGCATATTGGTGTTAATAAGTGAGCAAAACACAGACCTGCCTGTCCCACACTCTATTCTTTGAACTGGGTTTCTGTTTTTCTGTTTGTGATGATGTTGTTACTTCTGTGGCTCTTATTGCTGCTGCATCCTTTTCAAATGTTTATTGTCTTTGAGGTTTTGCTGAGGGGTGCCACTGAGTGAGTGTGACAAACATACTCTGCATGTAGTTAGGATAAACTCAAAGTTGCTTTGTAAGAATGGCTTGCAGCCTTTATATATAGGTGGATTGTTGCTAGACGCTTGATACTTCTAGTGAAAAAGGACTCTGTGACTTAACTGTGCTATTTTTTCTCTATTTT